ATGCTTTGGATGAGAGAACATTTGAGCAAATCAAGAACATTGAGAGAGCTCATGAGGCATGGAAGAAATTGGAAGAATCATTTGAGGGCACCAAGGCAATCAAGGGTGCAAAGGCATACATTCTCAAGGATAAATTTGCTAGTTTCAAGATGAAGGAAGATGAGAGTGTGCCGGACATGTTCCATCGGATGGAAGTGATTGTAAATGATCTCAAGGCACTTGGTGAGAAGATAGAGGACAAGGAATTCTCAAATAAGTTCTTGAGATGCTTACCCTCAAGATTTGGTACATTGGTCACTATTCTAGTGAGGTCCAGTTTAGATACAATGACACCAAATCAAATCTTGGGAGATATCATGGCCGATGATGCTTATAGAGATGATGATGAGAAGGAAGAAAAGAGGGAGAAGAAAGATGAGAAGAAGAAAAGTGTGGCATTCAAGGCCACATCATCTAAGGGCAAGGCAAAGCAAGAAACATCAAGTGAAGATGATAGTTCATTTGATGAGATGGATGATGAGAAGATGGCTCTCTTTGTCAAGAAATTTGGCAAGTTCATGATGAAGAAAGGGTACCGTGCTAGAAGAAAGAAGTCTTCATCCAAGAACAAAGAAGAGTCAAGAAGGTGCTTCAAGTGTGGAAGCAAAGATCATCTTGTTGCTCAATGTCCATACAATAGCGACAATGATGATGACAAGAAGAAGTACAAAAAGAAGGACAAGAAGGAAAAGAAAGAGAAGGACAAGATGACCTTCAAGAAGAAGAAGGGTGGTTCATATGTGGTCACTTGGGATAGTGATGCTTCCTCAAGTGATGATGATGATGATGATCACAAGACCACCAAGAAGAAGGCACTTGCAAGCATTGCTATCAATGAGAAGCCTTCTCTCTTCGACTCTTCATCATGCTTCATGGCTAAGGCCACTAAGGTACAAACTTGTGATGATGAAAGTGATGAAGAACATGATGATGATAATGAACATGATAATGAAAATGATAGTGATAGTGATAATGATGAACCTACTAAGGTTGAACTATTTGATATGCTAGAAGATGCTAAAGAACACTTTGACATCAAGAGAAGGGAATGCAAAAGCTTGCGTAAGGAACTAAAAGACCATAAGCAAGCCTTTGATGAGCTCAATGCATCTCATGAGAGGCTAGAGGAAGCCAATGAGAAGCTTAGCGAAGCTCACAAAAAGCTTGAAAAGGCTCATTCCTCTTTGCTTGATGAGCAAAATAAAAAGAAGCATGTTGAAACTTGCAATGTAGGTTTAACTTGTGATATAATTGATGAATCACTATCTATGCCTATCATTGCTCCTTCTACTAACCCTTCTTATAGTACTTCCACTTCCACCTCATCTAGTGGTGACGGTCTCACTTGTGATGCCTCACTAATGGTTGAGAATGAGAATCTCAAGAAGGAGGTTAACAAGCTCACTCACACTTTGGCTAAGGCCTATGGTGGTGAGGACCGCTTGCTTATGTGCTTGGGTAGCCAAAGAGCTTCTCTCTACAAAGAGGGATTGGGCTATACCCCCAAGAAAGGCAAGGCGGCCTTTGCTCCTCACAAGACTAGTTTTGTGAAGAACAATGGTCGGTTTTGCACTAGTTGCAAGCAAGTTGGTCATAAAGAGCATGAATGCACCAACAAGAGCAAAAATGCTAATGTATCCTCCCTTAAGCTTGATTCATGCTATATGCTTACTAAGGGTACAAATGGTATGAAGGCTAAGTTCATTGGTAAACCATGGATGGGCTCAAAGAAGAAAGTCATTTGGGTACCAAAGAGCTTAGTGACTAACCTTCAAGGACCCAAGCAAGTTTGGGTACCTAAAAAGAATTGATCTTCTTTTGTAGGTCAATTACAAAGCTGGAGGAAGGCATTGGGTTCTTGATAGTGGGTGCACTCAACACATGACAGGTGATGCAAGAATGTTCAACTCAATCAACACCAATGGTAATAATAGTTATGATAGTATCACATTTGGTGACAATGGCAAAGGCAAGGTCAAAAGGCTTGGTAAGATTGCAATATCCAATGACATGAGCATATCCAATGTGTTGCTAGTAGAGAGCTTGAATTTCAATTTGCTATCCGTGGCTCAATTATGTGATCTTGGATTCAAATGCATATTTGGGGTAGATGATGTAGAGATCATAAGTATAGATGGCTCTAATTTGATCTTTAAAGGCTTTAGATATGAGAATCTATACTTGGTTGATTTCAACGCTAGTGAAGCTAAATTATCTACATGCTTGTTCACTAAGTCTAGCATGAGTTGGTTATGGCATAGAAGGCTTGGTCATGTTGGAATGAAACAATTGAATAGATTGGTTAAGCATGACTTGGTTAGAGGCTTGAAAGATGTTGTGTTTGAAAAGGATAAGCTTTGTAGCTCTTGTCAAGCCGGTAAACAAGTTGGAAACACCCATCCTAAGAAAAGCATGATGAGTACTAGTAAAGCATTTGAGTTATTGCACATGGATTTGTTTGGGCCAACTCAATACACTAGCATTGGTGGTAACAAATATGGCTTTGTGATAATGGATGATTACACTAGATACACATGGGTATTCTTTCTAGTGGACAAAAGTGATGTATTTACAACATTCAAATCATTTGTCAAAGGCATTCAAAATGAGTTTGAAACAACCATCAAGAGAGTTAGAAGTGACAATGGTAGTGAGTTCAAGAACACTAGAATTGATGAGTTATGTGATGAATTTGGAATTAGACATCAATTCTCGGCCAAATACACTCCACAATCAAATAGCCTTGTTGAGAGAAAGAATAGAACACTTATTGATATGGCAAGGTCTATGCTTAGTGAGTACAATGTGAGTCAATCCTTTTGGGCCGAAGCTATCAACACGGCTTGCTATTGTAGCAACCGCCTCTATTGTCACCGATTGAAAGAGAAGACACCATATGAGCTCTTGAATGGTAGAAAGCCCAACATTGCATATTTTCGGGTTTTTGGTTGCAAATGCTATATCTTGAAGAAAGGCACTAGATTGGGCAAGTTTGACAAGAAATGTGATGAGGGATTTCTACTTGGTTACTCCACTACAAGTAAAGCGTATAGAGTTTGGAATTTGGATAGTGGTACTCTTGAGGAAGTTAATGATGTTGAATTTGATGAAACCAAGGGTTCACAAGTAGAGAATGAGAACTTGGAAGATGTTAGAGGCATTTTATATCTGATATCACATGTGATGATGTCCTGGTTTGTAAACACCATACGTGATGACGTCCTCCAAATGTTTTCAAATTTTTACCACCGCATATGCATGTGATATCACGACATCTCGCCAAGTTTCATGATTTTCGGGATTCGTTTGAATTTTATAGAATTAAATAACCACTCGCACACAAGTTCGCGACGTTGCCCCGTGAGCACGTTGATCGAAATTTGGAGACAGTTCCTAGATTTAGCATAAAGTGACACTAACAAACAAGAATAATATTTTTGGAATGGATCAAAACTATTATTCGATGCACCTGCAGTTCAAACCTACATTTTCCAGAAAATTGCAAGAAAACGAAATAAAGTGAAGAAATATAGCAAACAGCAATGAAATTGTGCCAAATTTGAACATGTTGTTCATGGTACAAATACAAATCTAAGAAAAAAAGTTGGTGGCAAAAAACAAAAAAAAATATTTTGCCGAGTGCTAAGGTTTGGCACTCGGCAAAGTGAATATTTTGCCGAGTGCTAACCCTAGGCACTCGGCAAAGCCATTATTTTGCCGAGTGCCAAACAGAAGGCACTCGGCAAAGAGGACGGCGTTGGGTACCGTTATCCCCGGGCGCCTCTTTGCCGAGTGCCCAACTTTGCCGAGTGTCTGGCACTGGGCAAAGTTTGGCTTTGCCGAGTGCCTTATTTTGCCGAGTGCCAGACACTCGGCAAAGCCCTATTTGTCGAGTGCCAAGTTTCGCCGAGTGCGGCACTCGGCAAAGGTGGCCTTTGCCGAGTGCCCGATATTTGATACTCGGCAAAGATTTGAGCACTGGGCAAAGTCCTGGTTTCCTGTAATGTAAGTAGTATTTGTTAGCAAATAAATAGAGAGAGAGCATGCAAGGAAAAACAATTTGGTTTAGTTGTTTATACTACATTAATCATGAACTTCTAATACTTATATCTTATAAGATTATATACTGTATAGGAGTAAGTGTTAATGTACTAGTTATTACTCTTCTAATTAGTAACGAAAAACTAGATCATATAAGTAGTAACACTGGAAATGGAACTCCACTGCAATAGAGGATTCACTGGTGGGTCTTCGCCGTGGTGGTTTGCTTTAACATGGTTTGGGTGGTGGTTGATGTTGTTGTTTTTTTTTTAGAAAAGTCTACTTAATCCCTTTAACTACGGGCGGTTGTCTAGATTGACTATAACCTTTCAACTATAAAATCTGATATTATAGTCCTTGAAATGTCCAGTAATGATAAAATGGCTCTCGGATGGTTTTGTAGTGCCGCTTCGACACAGTGTTACGCCACATTAGCATGAGTACTCATGCTTATTACACGCGGATCCATCTATTGGTTCCATCTCTCTACTCTTTCTAGATTGCCCCGCTGTCCGACGAGAAACAAATGACCTTCTATCTCCTGCGGTCCTGCTCCACCTCCCGGGACTTCTTGACGTCATTAACCTCACGCACCGTGTCTGTACCCACGTTATTTGGCCATCCTCGTTCCTCTCGTGTCCTCCTCGTATGGCTACCTCAAAAAAGAAAGGGAATTCCTGCAGCAGCTGGTCCAGTGTCTCCATCTCAGTGACTAAACTTTACGGCGTACATGTATACGGAGTATATATCAACATGTGTACATGAATAAATAACCATGCAAGATGTATATGTGTACATGATATAACTCCAACTGTAACAAAGCCTACGCACTCTAGATTTTGTATATAGACTACAGGGTAACTAACTGTCTAAATCCTACAGGTAGGAAGGCACAGTACATAATAACTGATGATCACACATCAGACTCCTGCCTCCTGCTCGATCTGTAGCCTCATCTGCCTGTTGAACCGCGCGATGAAATCCTCCACCCTCTTGTTCAGCTCCTCGTCGCTCAGTTGCCAGTACTCGCTCTCCTCTGCCGCCGACTTGCTCCCATCCGTCGCCGACCGCCGGAGTCTCCCGCCCTTGCCGTGTGCCAGCACGTCCGGTGGACGAGAATACAGTGGTTCGATCGCCGCCTCGTGTTGCTCACCTCGCTGCAGAAGTACCGAAACATGCATGTGGTTCGGCTGCACGTCGGTGCGTGCCCTGTTCGCTGCATCTCCGCTTTCGGCTTGGATCAGAAAAGGCGACGCAACAAGGTCCACGGGGTTGCTGCCGGCCACCGTGCTCGCCACCTCTTCTTGGACGCCACGGTCCACCGGCTGACCGCGCGAGACGTGGTCGTTGCGATCGTCACAAGGATCATCGTCGTTGGAGGAGCCGAAGAAGAGCGCGCCGGCGTCGTCGGTGGTGGCGACGATGGCAGCGATGACGCAGTTGGACATGAGGAACCAGAAGGCGGTGTCCCTCGCCAGGGCGGCCAAAGGTGGCCGCAGCAGCGACACGTAGAGCAGCGGCAGCGCGGCCACCAGCGCCGAGACGGAGACCTTGGCGATGGCCTGCCGGCGCCGCCGCGGCAGCGTGCCCACCACACGAACCATCGCTAGGAAGCTCGCTCGCTCCCGAATTAATACACTTGTACTGCTGCCACGGGCCACGACCCACGGCCTGTGTGGCGATAGCTCGCAATCGCGACCTTGCTGCTGCTGGTGGTGTTTGCTTGCTCTGGCACTGTGTGGGCATGTGGCCGATCGAGTGGCTCGAGAGTGTGCGTCTGGTACTGGTAGCATGTACCTGTCCCTTTTATAGGCGTTTGGAGTAGGAGTGGCACACTGCTATGTAGCTGCCATGTCGTAGGAGTAGCTAGCTAGCTAGCGTCCGTGATGTGATGTGATTTGGTTTTGCTTACGCTGCGGTGGTGGCTTTGTCGTCGTCGTGTCTTGGGTCTAATGATGATGGCTAATAATAGCACAGCCGCATGTGTGTTGTGTCTGGACTCTGGAGAGCGCCAGGGCCTTGCAGTAGCAGTAGTGTTGTGTTCCTTACGCTGCGGCATGCCGGCATGAGCCGTGTGTCATGGAGCAGAAGGCAGGGTGGGCGCGCGCGTGCGACATGCGGAGGAGGGCACCCGGCATCCGACGTCCCGACCCGCGCGTGTTTAGGTGAAAAGGGTAGCGGCGCTCGGCAACCGGCAGCGGCAAGCGAGCCACCGTACCATGCGCATGCGCCGGCGGCGGGGCCTGCCACAAATGCTGCTGGATCTCCGTGCGGCCGTGTGCTCTGGTCCGGTGGTCGCCGCGCGTGCCGCGCAAACAAGTGTCATGCGCGGCAATTAATCTCAGTGCCAATCATGTTTTGTTGGTTTAGGAGCTCCAAGACTAGAAATTTTTAAGTGTTTTGGCTTTTTCACGACACGTTGAGCCGTTGACTTGGAATGAACTGAACAGTCTACTCACACTGATTGTGTAATATTGATTGACACCTTAGCACATCTGGCCCTCTGCTGTAATTGAACATTAAAGCCTTGTTCTCAAGAAAAATACTACAGTAGAGGGGGAGATCGAGCTTGACATCATTCGCACAATTAACTACTTGTCCGGAACAGTTGCGAGTCCTTAACAGACAATAAGAGACTTGTACGGTGCAATCAATCGGCCACACTGATGGTGCTCAGGTGCACCACTTGGCGCGCAGCAGAGACAAACATTCTGTGTTGCCCCGTCAGAATCATGCATGCTATGAGGGTGACTGAAATGAAAACACCGGGCTTTACTCTCCAGCGAAGCTCCAGGGAATGATTATGTCAAGATGATTGCTAGACAGCTAAGGGCATGACTAATCAGTCATGTAAATTACTACTAAGGAACGTAGTATTGAATATTTTCTCTATCTTAATATAAAGACGTGCAAACTTTTTGCGTGTTCGAGAAAAAAAAAACAATTTCCAATAAACAGTTATATACTCTCGCCGTCGCAAAATAAGTGCATGTCTCGTATTTTGACGAGCCAACTAATTTCGAGTTTGACTACATTTATAAAAATAATATCAACATTTGTATATCCAAATAGGTTTACTTTAAAAATATATGACGTGATTAATCTAATAACGTTTATTTGGCATCTATGTAACATATCTTAACACACATGTTACTATGTTTGTCCTAGTGCTTTATTTTCATCTAAATCACCAAGACAAAACATGATCAGGCACATGATCCTTACATACGGTTTGCCGCAGTTTTAATTAAGAGAAAAAAACAAAACAAGTGTTGGCTTAGTTTTTTTTAATGAAAACTAGGCTAAAAAAACCACACAATTGCATGTTTTATTGATATTCCAATTTGATGGAAATATGCATCACATCATCATCATGTACTCGTGCTTCCATCAATGACCAGGAAATATTTGTTAATATAGTGTGTGACACATGGGCTGAAGAACAGGTTTGCTTCAGGTCACTGTTAATTGTATCATGGTGGAGACTTTTGTGCGCATCTAAGTTATGATAGCTTCAGATTCAGCATCATATCTCTTTGTCCTTTCTTGTGAGATGAAATCATTAGGTCATCATTCAATCAGGAAGAACAATGAATAGTACAATATGTCCTTAATTTCACAATGATACTCGATTCGTCATTAAACAATAGTCGTCCTTAAGACCATAACTCTACAAAAGATGAGATGCAATGACAACTTATTGTCCATTTAACCCACATCTAACGGCCCATATTCGTTGATTGAGATTGAGCCATGTCATTATTTTCCGAGTAAAGTGCATTTTTCAACCTTCAACTTGCACGGAAGTTCAATTTTCAACCCTAAACTATGAAACTAGGTAATTGGCATCCTCCAACTGTCGAAGTCGGACAAATTTAGTCATTTAGTTGGTTTAAAAGTTATTTTTTCTATTTTATAAAATAATAAAAATCTATTTCAATACTAAAAATTCATAGCCTATTTATTTTGAATCAAAAAAATGTGAAACTAATATCATTATTTCCTAAAAATGTTATTTATCTGTTGGTACTCTATTTGGATTTATTTGAGTCTTATTTATTCATGTTTCTAATAAACAAGACCACAAGAAATAAAACAATAGGAGCAGAAATGAATAAGTTCCATGTAACTGTAAATAAATAACCAACAGTTACATAACATTTTTTTAAGAAAAAGATGGCACTGGTTTCATATTTTTCTAATTTCAAATAGGTTAGTTATGGATTTTTAGAGGTTACTAGCAAATGTGCCTGTGCGTTGCAACGGAAAAAAAATCTATAAAACATTTACGAAAAACGAGGACCGAAATGATACATATCTGTTTATGTTATGCTCTTTCTATAAAATTTCAAAGCTAATTTTTATGATGACTATGTCATCCACAATATAAGCTAATGTTGGCAATAATATGACAATACCCTATTAAGCATGCATCAAATTTAAAATACAATCTTGATATATTTTTTCTCTTCTGTTGCAAAATACACAAAACTATTTATTTGTAAATATATCATAATTTTTGTTTCATACTATCCATGCGTTGGTATAGTTAAATTCTGAGTTATATGACTTCCTTTGTGGACCCATAAAAATCGTAATTTTAATCTCTGATTAAAGTCGTTAAGATGTATATATAGTTACCAATGTGTCGAAGAGTATCTCATGATTATGACGTGAAGCATCTCTCGGTTTCTACATGTTAACTCTAGTCGAGGATTGCTTTTGGAGAGATATTTATTAGACTAAATTGGATAACAAACTGCTCCGGACTTCGGTTTGCGATTTGATTACTTGGACCTTTTGTTGAACCGGATTATAATAATAATATAAGTTTATTATCAATTAAAACTGCATTAATCATTTGGTGGTGAAAATATATATTTGTAGGTCAAGGGCTCAAAATATTATATTTGTTATTTATTTTATATATAGGAAAAAGCGAAATTAGAAAATAAAAAGAAGGGGGGACGTGAATCACGGACACAAGTAATGCGGGGAAAAACCGGGCGCAAACCAAAACCAACGTGAAAAAACGGAAGCAAACCAATCTTTTTTTTTTTGAACGGAAGCAAACCAATCTGATAACAAATCGAAACATGACTCAGGAATGGAAACAAAAACCCCAAAACTGGAATTTAAGAAACGCCACCAGCTGAGGGGAAAGGGGAACGTACATAGATTGGACTCTACTTCTAGGTGAACCAAAAAAAAAATAGGTATAGATAAAAAAAATAGTAGAGGACACGGACACTGCTGATTTAAATATGTTTTGAAATCGGACTTTGTATCGTGCTAAACAAGAGCTATACTAACTCATATAAGCACATGTTATATATAAGTCCGGAAGAAAAAACTCTCACTCGTTCCGTAGTTAGTGGAAGACGGATAAAAAAATGTATGGACAAAAAAAAAAGCTGAAATTTTGTCTCTTTATTATTAGGTATATAGAAATAAGATTTTTATTGTTTTTATAAAATAAAAAAACCAGCTAAGTAACCAAATTTATCCGGTTTTGACAGTGTGAAAGTGTCCAGTATCCTGTTTTGTAGTTAAGGTCGAAAATTAAACTCATTTGCAAGCTGAGGGTTGAAAATGCACTTTACCCTTATTTTCCCACGGGAAAACTCATACTCCACACGTCCACACACCCTCCGAGTGCAGTTTTTCACGAGATAATATATAACTACTACGCCCAATTTAAAATATAAGTCATTTTATTTATTTGTTTGTTTATTTATGTTTTAAGCCAGATATTTTTAACTTTTGAGCAATTTTCCTAGAAACTTTATGGTTTTATACATCCTATAGAAAAATAGGAAGGCATTCCACAGAGTTTAATAGCTAACTGGACAAATCAAATTCGAGAACACCAGACTGATGCTGTAGCATAAGCATCAGGTCTTAAACGAAAGCAAAACCCTAATCTTAATCCTTCCGCTCTTCTAGAAACAACAGAGAGATGGACGACCCAGTCGTGCGACAAAGCTATCTCCCACTAAGCAAGTACGGACTACATTTTTGTTTAGGGCTTGATTAGTTCTTCCCCTTAAAGTTTAGTTCCTATTTTATCAGATGTTGGACACATGCATAGAGTATTAAATATAGACTAAAAAATAATTAATTGCACATATTGTGACTAGTTTGCGAGACGATTTTTTTAAGCCTAATTAGTCCATGATTTGACAACGTGGTGCTACAGTAAATTTGTAGTAAATATGTGCTAATGACAGATTAATTAGGCTCAATAAATTCATCTCGCGGAGTACTAAGGATTTCAATAATTTATTTTATTATTATTATTCGAACATTCCCATATAACACCCGATGTAACACCTGGAACTTTAGCCCACCTTATTCACGAAAGGCTGTTTCTGGTCTCAAAGTTGCGATTTGTCCCATCCTCGTGGATGCTATCTATCCCTTCCTTGCCTTGCTGGCACCAGGTATAAGGCGCCGCCGCCGTTTGTATCACCAAGTGGACAGTGGACCCCGTTGCTGAAATGGAAATGGCGATCCCCGAATTGGCTCATGTAGGAGTAGATGCGGGCGGAGGACTTGTGGATACCTAGCGGTGGCGTTTATGTGAAGCCGGTCTCTTGGTGTC